CGCGCTCCGCCGGTCTTTAGGTCTCCTCATCGGTTCCTGCCCCGCCCGCGATCTGTGCCTTAGCTGTTATCCTCCACCCACTACCTATCCCCGCTGCACCCGACCGCACCTGTCCGCCGGACTTAGGTGCGCGCACTGGGCCCACATCCTCACTGCAGACCACACCCACGGGCCTCACGCCACAGCCTCACCTGCACGGGGACGCACATGCACACACCTCGCACCTGCTCGCATGCACACCAGATTTCGCTGCCAGGTTCACACAGACTGTCCCCGACCCGCTCATAGAGCCCCACTGCCGGCTTCAGAGGTACTTAGGGTGCAAGCCCTGGTGAGGCTCTGGGGTTGCGGCGAGGGTTTAGGAGCTTCCTCTCGCTCCTCCCACCCGCTCCGTCGGCCCGAGCCTTGCTGCGACACCAGGAGCTGGGGATCTACTCCGTGCGCTCTAGGCGCGGGGTGGGCGGGACTCTATGGCCCTCAGGCGGGCCAGTCCTGCGTATGCAGAGGCTTTGTGACCCCGGGGCCGCCCCGGGGTGAGTGAGCGAACCTCTGTAGGACAGATGGCCTGGGACTCCAGTGGCATCAGTGGCCCTTTCCTCCCACAGAAGACTGGCTCACCTGGACACTGGACGCTCAGAGATAGGCTTTTGGCTTCGTCGTCACCATAAAGAGCCCAGCGATCTAGGGTCAGGGCTTTGAGCGAAGGAGGTGGGAGGCGTGATCCAAGTGTCTGAGACTCTGACAAGTCCTTCCTCCTCTGGCAGGCAGAAAGCCACGGCCTCCCTAGCTGCCATAGTTTAAATAAAATTCCTGGGGATGGGGCCTGCAGGTAGCACGGTGGGGGAGCTGGATTCCCACATAGCCAACCTAGGTTCGAGTCCCAGATCTGGTGCCTTGAAACTCACGCTAGGTGAGTGTGCGTGCGTGTGTGCCCAAAATCCCAGGAAAGGAATGAAGGAGAAGGGGTTGTGGCGTGACCATCCCCTCTGGCGGGGAGGTTATTTCTGACGTTCCCTCTGTCTCTCTCTGCCTCTCCTGCTAGTACACATGCTCTATGACAAAAACAGAGAAGAACAAACTCCTGGCGTGGAAACTTGTACTTTTTACAACTACAATTCCCACACATAAGGGCGCTGTCATCGTAATGTGGGGGAGGGGGCTATAATTGTAAAAAGCACAAGTTTGCACAACCCCAGGAATTTCAGTTAAACTATGTCTCTAACTCTGCCCTCACTGAATCAGGATTATATATATATATTTTAAATAATTATTTTGTTATTTATTTATTTATTCATTTATTTCATTTTTTTATTTTGACCAGAGAGGGACAGAGCAAGAGAGAAGGAGAGAGTGGGAACGTGAGAGAGCAAGCCTCCAGGTCCAGGACTTGAACCACGGTTGGCCATGTGGGAGTCCAGTGTCCTTAACCACCACGCTACCTGCCGGCCCCTAGGATTATATTTTGAAATCATATCCCTAGGTGATTGCAAGAGCTGTTGAAAGAGCCTTACTACACTTGCTTTGAGGAGGAGCATGGCTCATTTGCTCTCCTCCCCCCCTACTGTTGTTGGATGGGTACTAGCATCCCCATCTTAGAAATGCATTCACAGAGGTCAAATGACTTGCTCAAGTTCACAGAGCAAGCAAGTGATAGAGTCTAACTCTGGTCTGACTCCAGAATTTGAGCTTTCGATTGCTTGGCTCTTGGAACTTATAAATACTGAGGATGGAAGAGATGGTTTGCATCAGCTGGGACGGGGCAAGGGTGGGGTTCTTTCCTTTTAAGGGCCTTACATGTGGAGAAAAGTCTTTTTTTTTTTTTTTTTGAGAGATTTTCTCT